ACGTATGTTCGCCAATTTATCTTCTGAAATTTTCAATAGGAATTTTCGCAAATTTAAATCAGTATAGTAAATTCGATGTCAATTTGATGCCGAAGTCCATCCGCCACACTGCGGGATAATCGCGTAACACCTACAAGCTGCCCACAAGACTGCGCCTGCGGACCTTGAACATGCTGATTCACCCCAACTTCGAAATTAGTTTCCGGGGAAATTAAAAAGCTACAATTGGCAAACTGGAGTATCTACTAGAAAGCACACAGAGAATGCTGGGGGGAGGCTCACGGATGAGCCGAACCCCTCGCAGCTCTGTCATGCGGCGGCGAAATATCAGCGAAACACATGGCTAGGCTGTCAATACGGTAAGTACATTTAAGAATTCTGGTTGAGATTCCAAAATATACGAAGTCTCCCTCAGCTGCAATCGGAGGAATAGTAGAGGTGGTTAAAAGGATACTAACCTTGTTAAAACGCGCAAAGTAGTAGTCTTCGTCGGATTCATCGTCACCAGCCCGCCGCCAATGGTGAAGTACAAGGCCATCCTAAAGCAAGTTCGGAGAGGTGAGATATTCCAGAAGACTTACGGAGCGCGCAGAATTCGTAAAAGCAACCCACTGCCACCGACGAACCCGGCTGGTACCGATAACAACTTTGGGCTGCTTGTACACGGGAGCTTCATCAGCAGGGACCAACGGAGGCAGCTCACTGGAGGTGGCAATAAAAAAGGGAACAAATGTCACACTAACAAAGGATCTGTGCTCTAAACTGAGCTTGTGTAATGAAAAAAATTTGTTTGCGTTAACTAGACGGGAATTTGATACCCTGACGTTACGCGTTTGAGAATGGAGCCTTCACGACACAGGAACGTTAAGCAGATGCGGGTTTGTAGTGGTCTCTGCCGTCTGACGCCTTCCATTGCTTTGTCCGGCGTCATTGCTCAAAGCCAGCTACCCAAAGGTCATCCAATACCTCAGTCAGCGCTTACAGACGCGCTGACCTGCAGAGAATTGACCTACTTCCACTCGGACATGCAGATGTGCGACTAGGTTCTCGCGGCTGCCGAAGCACCACTCGAACATGTCCCTTTTTCCCCAACCTCGGCCAACAAACATCTCTTCGGATCACGCCGCCCTAGCGGAAGGTCGTGCTCCCCGTAGTCAGACTTCTTTCATCTATTCTTCGTTCCTCTGTGTACACAATATACTATTCCTCCTATGCTGGCCTCCACTGACTTCTCCTCCACTAAGTAGCCATGGTCTGAAGATCGCAGTTGCCTGAGTTTAACTTACTTAACCCCCTGCGATATGTGTGCTTGTCGCGCACTCATAACCATGAGTACATGAGCAATAAGCCAATTAAAGGGAACAAGTCCCCATTAGGCCATCAAAAGGTTATTGACAGGAATAAAGAATGCTCATGTACCGAGTTATGTGTCGCCAATTTTATTGGCATAAAACAAGCCGGAAGAAATAAATGGAGACAGCTTCGTAAATTATGAACACGGTCACGAGGAGGTGACCAAGACATACACTACATCGAACCATGAGCCCATCTCGTATCAACTGTTGACATTGTTGACAGGGTCCCTGAGCCTTAAATATACAATTATTATTGCAGTAGTCGCCAGCTATTAAGCCCACGGCTAATAAGCCCAGCCGCGTATTAA